GCAAGCAATGAAGCTAGGTGGCCTGCTCAAACTTTCACCCAGGGGCACAGAAAGAGCCAGCACCACTAAGCCGGTTTGTAGGGGCAGTCACAGAAAAAGCGGCTCTCTGCACCGTATGAACTTGCTCCTTCAACGCACTGTTCGTGCATTTAGGCAGATGCAGAAGAAAAAGGTCTGGAGGGACATCGTAGCAGGCTAGGCCCAACCAGGAGATAGAAATCACACAGAAAGTAGGTTAAATAGGGAAGCTTAATATGAAGAATTATTAACTAGGATAAAAGAGGATAAGACATATGGAAACTGTAAGGTGGCCGAGGGCTGCGGGAGAGGACCCAAGTGTATTAGTTTGCTCCTGCTGTGCTGTGGTCTGAATTTTGTGTTCAGACCCCTCACACCCACCCCCAATTCGTATGTTAAATCCTATTGCCCTCTGTGACAGGATTAGGAGGTAGAGGCTTTGGGAGGTGTTTAGGTCGTGAGGGTGGAGACTTCGTGAATGAGATTAGGTCTTTATAAAAGAGGCCAGAGGAGAACTCCCTCAGCCCTTCCACCCTGTGAGGACAGGAAGGGGGCTTTCACAAAAATGCGACTACAGTGGGGTCTTGACCTTGGACTTCCCAGTCTCCAGAACTGAGAAAAATAAGATTCTATTGTTCGCCAGCCACTCAATCTGTGGTACCTTGGTATAGCAGCCTGAACGGACTAAGACAGATACCATAAGCAAGAACCACAGACTGGGTGGCTTAAACAACAAAAATTTTTTTTCCTCATATTTCTGGAGGCCGGAAGCCCAAGATCAAGGTGCTGGCAGATTGGTTTCTCCTGAGGCCTCTCTCCTTGGCTGGCAGGTGGCCACCCTCTCACTGCGCCCTCACGGGGTCTTCCCTCTGTGTGTGTCTGTGTGTTAGTAGCCTCTTCTCGTAAGGACACCAGCATATTGGATTCGGGCGCACTCATAGGACCTTGCTTTAACTTAACGACCTCTAGAAAGGCACCACCTCCAAATACAGTGACATTCTGAGATCCTAGGGATTAGGGCTTCAACACAGGAATTTGGGAGAGGGGACAAAATCCAGCCTGTAACACCAAAGCCGGACAAACTTGGAAGAGGTTCACACCTTGGAGAAAGTGTGCTTTGGCCAACAGATGGCAGAGATGTTGGCTGGTTTAGCCAGGCCGAGCTAGTCTGCAGCCGCCGGACAAACCACAGACGACTTTCAGAGTACCGGCAGGGACGAGTGGCCTGTGACTGGCGGGTGGCACAGTCCTGCTGGCGGGGGCTTGTGGAGGAGCAACCGCTTGGCTTGTAACCCCTCCCCGCGCCCGCCACAGGCTGTACAGGGGGTTTGGGGTCCACATCAACATGACTGCAGAGAGGTTATTGCCACACAAAGGCCGCAAGATATCGGAGGGTCAGGGACTGGGGCTGGTTCCGCCAGAGGATCTCCTATCCCTACTGCGGACCCCCACCCCAACTCCGGCCCTCCCGCAGTGCCCTCCGGAGCCCTCTCTGGGGAAAGCTTTACACTGTGCTCACTTTCAAGAAATTTCGTCTTTTATTAGAGCATGTGTGGAGGGTATAAATTCAGAGCTGACAGGGTATAAATTGATGACGGACACAGATATTCATCATGAGAATGAATAATGCATGCAAGAGCGGCCTACTTCACATCGGTTCATTTATTCATTCATTCCACAGAGATTTATGTCTGCCTGATACGTGCCGGGCTCGATCCAGGAGCCGGAATGGAGAGGGCAACACGGGCCGAAGTCCCCGCTCTGCTGGACCCCTCGTTCTGCTGAGAATCTGCCCACGGATCACAACGAGCGTCCTGGGAAGGGTCCCACCGCATCGGAGCCTGGGATTGAAATCCCAGCTCTGTGACTACGTTACTGGGCGCCCTTGAGCAAGTCGCGCAGCTTCTCGGGGCCCCAGGCCTCACCGCGTCCTTCTGTGGCTCTATCCGCGTCTTCGGCTTTTCGGGTCTTTGTCGCTCTTCAAAATCACCGACCCAGTTTTCATCCCATGGGCGGCAAGGACAGTGCTCATGTCTGTCCTTCCCACCCCAGCACTTCCGACGTCAGTCTTTTCGGGGTTTGCTCGTCCCGTGGGTGTGAAACGGCATCTCGCTGTTCCCAGCGCTTTTCCCTGATTGCTCGTGAAGCTGAGCATTTTCTCCTCATCACTGGCCATTTGAGTTTCCTCTTCTTTTGTTGTCTTTTCATATCCCTTGCCCATAGTTCTATTTTTTTTTTTCCTTATTGATGGATGGTTTGTGTTGACTTAGAAAATAATAAAGTGGTTTCCATTTTAAGAGCGAAGGATATTTTCAAAACTATAAGGAAAAGGTATTTCCAAAACCAGAGTACCTGAAATCTGTCATTCCTGGAATACGCCAGGCACCACCCCCCCCCTCAAGCCTCGGATCCTTTGCCCTTGGTGTCCTTGCTGCTGGGAAGCCTCCTTCCAGAGACATCCTCAAGGCCTGTCTGTCACCTCCTCTCGGGTCACCTTGGGGCGGCCTCCACTGACCACCCTAGTCAAGGCCACAATCCCTCCGTGGGCCCAGCTCTCCTCCGACGCCGACACCTGTTTCATTTATCTGTGGAGCACATATTGCCACCTGCCGTATTTTTCTCGTTCATGGTGAATTAAAGGCTGTCTCAAAATGTTAGCACTTCTCCCATTGAGAAATGGGTTCTAATGTCCTCCTCCTGGTGCTGGCCCGTCCTTAGTAACTTATTCGCCCACACCCAGGTCGTCAGTGGCAGAGCTCAGGTGTGAACTCCAGCCAACTGGCCCGGGAGTCCATGCACCTGGCCTCGACATCGTCACTGCCTCCCACTTGGTCCCCCAGAAAAAAACTAGACAACTATCTATTCGGAGCTTAAACACCCTGGGGATAGAGCATTTGTTTAACCCCAAACTTCTTTTCCACAGAAAACAGAAATTAAATTCAGATAAGACTTGAAGCCTAGGACACCTGGGTTACACACGGGAACAAAGGAAGCCAGAGGGCCCCCTCTCCCTGTGGGTGCTGACGACCTCCTGGCATCTGTGGGTTTGGGTGTAAAATGGTATCTGATACCCTTTGTATTAAATTTAGAATTCACTTTCTGAGAAACAAGGACACTTTTGAAATAGAATATCCTTTTACAATGGATTTCTTCATAGAGCTTAATGTATTTGTTTTGGGTTCCAAAAAGCTGGATGAGTTTCGTCAAATTATAGATTTCATGTTTTCCATCATCTGTATGCAGATTTGGAAGACAGTTATTTTGTCCAGCTCTTAAAATGTATAACTGGAATAATTTCTATGAAAATACCAATAGATGTTTATTCTTCATGGGGGGAGGGCAGCAGCTGGCCTCTCTCTGTGGGTGTCAAAAGCCCCCAACACCTACAGTATTTCTTCGGGGAGGGAACCAACTGGCTTCCTGTCAAATTTCTTCACTGAGATGGTCTTTACTGGGTTTGGGAGTTTATCTCATTTGACCTCATTTCTATACAGGCTGTAAACTTCCAACACTAGCTCACATGTGCAAGGAAGAACATCTTCTCAAACCTCACACGCGACTTAGAGAATATCAGCCACTTTTCCCAGAAATGGAAGTCGTTTGTGGGGCAGGGGGAGGGCAAAGGTTGAGACTGTGGGTTCTAAGATTCTAAAGTTGCCAACAGTCCCCAACCCAAAACAGCGAGAAGCTTTGGAGCACAGGTGGTGACGGAGCCGGATGACTGGCACACAGAACATGGGCGTGTCTGAAGCTGGTCCAGAATTTAATTGAATTTAATTTGGGTTAATTAAAGAACAACAACAACAACAACAACAACATTTCCGTAAATGCAAATTTACGTTTTGTCCAGATCAGTATGTATCCTAGAGTTCTGAACTTTGGACAGTATGTATGAGTAGGCTTTTATTTCAACCCTGACACTTGCTCCCTTTTACTATATGTCTTCTCTATTGAGAGCTGTATGTGCAAGAATCCGCCTTTTAATTTCATGATTACGTACCTTGCATCAGAAAACACACTCCGAATATCTCAAAGTCCCCAAAGCTTTTGCATGGTGCTGGGGACAGCGTAAGCCCTCCGCAAACACGGATGGGTGCCCCGCATTTGACTCTGGAAGTTGTGAATGGAACTGGAAATGGGAACGCTTCCTAACAAGACACCCCCGGCCTCTGCCAGGGCTCTGACCCCTTTTATTACATGACAGCATCTGAACGACTTCCCTTTTGAGCTGGTGTGCAACAGACTGTCTTTCCTTTCATGTGAAAGTCATCTTGTTCCCTCTAGGGACTGCGTTTTCTTTTTAACAGACATGTCGTGTGGCTGTGGGGCAAGAAACAGCCGAGGAACTCGAGACTTTGGGATAGGCAGAGGATGGGTTCCCAGGGCCGAGACTGGTCTTGTTCTGTTTTTCATGCTTGGCTCCTCAGCTAACGTGTTATCTTGACCGAGTAGCTGGAATAATCAGCGAAGACTGTTCATGAAGTTCCATATTACCCAAGAGATAAAGATGGGAAGGAAGATGAGCAAAAGGATGCTAACTCATTCTGGTTGTCCTCCTTGAGACCATGAAGATTAAACATCGGTGGGTATTTGAGAGAAATTACTAAGTCACACATCTTAGGAGGGACAGACAAAATAGCCCTCTCTCAGATCTGCACACAAACAACAGAGAACCCCAAATCTACAATGTAAAGAAACTTACCTCACTTACTGGAACCCCGGACAAATGAAACTCGATCAAGAACTCTATCTCAAAAGCATATTTGCTCCCAGAGTGTCTTAGTTTCGTAGGAGATTAGTTTCAAACCTACTACAGAAGGTAACAGGTACTCTTTTACCCCCGTCTCTGAGTGCAGAGCTTACCCGTGGTTACGTTCAGGCTTACCTGAGGCGGCTGTTGGAGTTAGAAAGTGAATAGAGAAAGAATCATTGGGACCAACCCCAGGCCTCTGCCTGGCCGGCTTCCCCCGATCAGGACTCACGTTTGTTGGCTCTCAGCTTCTTCTCATCCACAGGGATGAGGTCCAGGTAGTCCAGGTAGTATTCAAAGCTGTAGTACAGGGCGGAGGCATTGGTCCTGTTGGCCATATCTGCGGCACTGGCAGGCGGAGCATCCAGAACTGCTCCAAGTCCTCGGAGGACACTGGCCAACTGTGAAATTTCCTGTAAAGTCATCTAAGTGTGTCTGTCGGTCTCCAGGCTCAAGGCCTGCCCACGGAGGAGGGCCATTGGCTGGGAGAAAGGTCAGGGGGGGGCCCGATGGCTCAGCACACGAGGAGAGCTTTCCATCCTGCCCCGTCTTGAGAAGACTCCAAAACAAACAGCTGCCTGCGAGGCTGGAGGCCGTGTCTCCGGGCAGCTCTGGTCGCCCCTCCGCGTAAGGACAGGAAACCGAGCCCCGGGGACCCTTGACAGACAAGATGCCGAATAGGCTAGAAAGGACAATCGCTTTTTGCCTGAAATACTTAAACGGTTAGTAATACCCAGACAAAAGGCTAGCAGTGCCCTTGGCTTACATTAAGGAAATATTTGGTGCTATTAAGCAACCAGCAAATCACGGGCTTACACTCATTATTTGAGGGTATGAATTGAGTGATGTCGGCCCTGAACTTGCAACCTCTCTCATGTACGCACAGCCAATTCATTAAACCAAAGGACCCCCACCTCGCCGCCCTCATTGAGTACACCTCTCAGCTTTTATGTAAGCCCCCAGGAACCAGGCAGTCAGCCGCATTTATTCGGACTGGTGAGGCTGTTTGCCTGGGCCACGATCCCACGTGGATTGAGCTCTTGGGAAACAGAGCCCCAGGGTTCACCCAGCCCTTGGCTAATGACAAGCATGACGAAGATTCTTCTGGGTTTCTGTAGGGCCCGTCTCCAAAGTCATACATCACTTTTCTAAGAGCCACAGGCACAGTTGAGAGGAACATTTCAAGTATTTGGAATGAGTAGAACTAAATGAGAGAGGAGCCCCAGAATTAAGCCATTGAAAATTAGTTAGGAAATTAAAATACATAGAATTATGGGGCCTTCCCCTCCAATATACCAACTTTCTAGTATTCTCGATTCAGCTCTACACTGCCAGAGTAAAGCTGAGCATCGACAATGTAGACCACCAACCCAGATAACTTAAGGCTGTCTGCTGGCTTTGATCCTTGGCAGGCAGTCCTGCTGTGCCTGAAGCATCCTGCAGAGGCCATTCTCCCTGAGCCACTGAGGCAGTTCGGTTGATTAGAAAGGGAGAAAGAAGCTCCTGGGTTTCCAAAATTCAGGGTGAAATGTTCACTCGGCAACCCAGTCCCTGCACTCTGCATGCACCCTGTACTTCCAGACGTTGCTGTAGATGCCGCTGTGCCCATGCCTCCCAAGGGGGCTTAGTGAAGGGGCAGTCGAGTGGACGGGGCACAGGCGTGGAGGCTGGCGCCAGACGGCCTACTCTGAATGCTGCCTCCGCCTCCCACCAGGAGTGTGGCCCTGGACAAGTGACTTACCTCTCTGTAGCTGGTTTTCCTCATCTGTGAAATGGGCATGACCATTACATGTTTCTCCTGGGATGGTTGGGAGTATAAATGAGAACATCCAGGCCCAGTACTTATAGCGACACTTTGTCCATAGTAGGCACTCATTACATTAATACGAGCTATTATTTTCATCTGCCAGCAAATGCGGCCTTTCTCCCTATCTCATCATTCTTATTTTCTCATTTCTCATTCTCCAACTTGCCCATATTCCCTTATCTCTCTCCTTTCTCTCTGTCTTAATCCATTCCGTTACTTTCTATGTACAATGCCAACCTTGGATGCAAACGAATCCCTTTTATTTCTTGCCTTCAGCTGTTCATGTTCTGCAGCTCCCTGTCTGCCCTTCCTAGAAAATCTCTAGTAAAAACTTTACCCAACCTCCAGCTACCATCACCATCCTCCAATATGTGCCCACACCCACGTATATGGGTACGTGCGCGCGCGCGCACACACACACACACACACACACACGCAGAGGAATATTACTATAAGGAATTGACTCACATAATTATGGAGGCTGAGAAGTCCCACAAGCTGCTGTCTGCAAGTTGGACGCCTGGTTAAACCAGTGGTGCAGTTTGAAGGCCTAAGAGCCAGAGCCGATGGTATAGTTTCTGTCTGAGTCTGAAGCCTGAGAACCAGGCGGGAGAATATACTAGTGTTCCAGATTGAGAAGTCAGGCAGAGACTGGATTCAATCTTTTTGTTCTATTCAGGCCCTTGATAAACTGAACATTGCCCACCCACGCGGGGGAGGGTCATCTGCTTTGCTCAGTCCACGGATTCAAAGGCTAATCTCTTCCGGAAACATCTTCACAGACACACCCAGAAATAGTGTGTTACCAGATTTCTGGGCACCCGTATTCCAAAAGTCAAGCTGACAAAGTTAACCATCCTACCTTCTCCCCTTTCCTCTGCTGACAAAGTTAACCATCCTACCTTCTCCCCTTTCTTCCCTTCCTCCCCTCCTCCCTTCCTGGCTTCCTTCCCTGCTACATTTGCCAATCGAATTGAATTGAATTCCATTTGTTTGGAATTTTCACTTCAACCTGACAAATTTTGATTGTTAAAATGAATTTATTGGTCTGGTAATAATCTTGACTATAAAATACCCATGGAAGTTCCCTGGTGAAAAAAAACAAATTTAAAAGAACCCTCCCCTCTGACATTAGTGAGCATACTCCCATGAAGGCCAACTATCTGAGATAATAATGACACATTTATATTAACAAATACCTCGAAGACCTTGACCGTAAGCATTGTTTTTCATCCCACTTTAATTTATAACCCAAAGCTTGAAGGTGAAGTTATTTTTTCTACGGTGTTTTCTTTTACAGGAAATGTGCACGCTTGTTAGCTGTCATTGTGACTACAAATTGAGCACAGAGGACAAGGTAGAAGGGAGAGACCTAGAAAGGAAAGAAAACAAATGTTTATTGAACAACGACCTGAGCCAGCCACTGTGGTTTATGTGATTCTCAAAATACTCTGCCTCGGGTGTTGGCAGCCCCATGGTCCGCTCAGAGAGCTGGGATGCAGGCAGGTGGGGCAGCCTCCGTGCTCTGCTCAGTGCCTGGGATCTGCACGCTGGGGTGTAGCAGTGTCCTGTGGCTGCCATGACAAATTATCACAGGCTGGGCAGCTTAAAACAACACAGATTTATTATCTTACAGTCCTGGAAGTCAGAAGTTTGAAACGAGTCTTATGGGAGTCATATTAAGGTGCTGCCAGGGCTGGCTCCTTCTGGTGGCCCAGGGTGGGGAGTGGGGGGTGGGGAGAATGTCTCCTTGCCTTTTCTAGCTCCCGGAAGCCGTCCTCCTGCCCTGGCCCGTAGTCCTGCAACACATTGCCTTTTCCTGCCTGGATTCCGTTGTCACCTGACCTTCTTCTGTAGTCAAATCTCTTATAAAGATACTAACGATTATATTGGACTCACCCAGAGAATCCAGAATAATCTCCCCATCTCAAAATCCTTAATTTAGTCACATCTGCAAAGTCCCTCTTGCCACATAAAATAACATTCACAGCAACATCCAGGAATTAGGATGTGGATATTGGGGGGCAAGAGGGGGATATTATTCAGCCTATTACATGGGGCAAAAAATGTCATATTGTGGGTATATAGAAATCTTTAAAATAAACAGCACTTCTCTCCGGAGTGTCCATTTTTTTCAATGATTTTTGGTATAAAGTTACATTTTAATGTTGAAACAGACATAGGATTATCTATCTATCTATCTATCTATCTATCTATCTATCTATCTATCTATATGTAAATGCAAAATTTGCATGACTTTAAAAAAATACATTTTTATCATAGACAATTTCAAATATTTGCAAAAGCAGTAAGAATATCATAATGAAACTCCATGTAACCACCACTCAGCTTCAACGATGATCAGGTTGTAGCTAATGTACTTTTATCTGCACTCTTGCCTGCTCCTGTTCTGGATACTGCGAAGCAAATTCTAAATATATCATTTTATCTGTAAATATTTCAGTATGTATCTCTGAAGGAGAATTTAAAAAAATAAAACCATAACGTTATCCCACCTAAAAATTAATACTAATTATTTAATTGCATCAAATATCTAGCCAATATTCAAATTTTTCCTGTTTGTCTCATTATTTCTTTTATAATTAATTTGCTCAAATCAGGAGCAAAGAAGATACACGCATTGCAATTGGTTATGACTCTGAAGTTTTGCTAAACATATAGGTTTCCTCTCCTTAGTGTTTTTTTTTTTCTTTCTGAACTTATAATTTATTTGTAGAGGAAATGGGTTATTTGCCCTGAAGAGTTTGCCAGTTGGATCCCACGGTGATGTTAGCCATGTTCCCTAGGCCATATATTTCCTGGAAAGTGAAGTTAGATCTAGAGGCTGAATCAGATTTAGGTTTTTTTTGTTTTTTGTTTTTTTGGCAAGAATGCCTCAGATTGGTGTGATGTCCTTCCCTCAAGAGGCACGTAATGTCTACTTGTCCCTATTTTTTGTGACATTACCAGCCAGTGATGGTCATTGCTGAAATCGTTTAGTGCATTTTACCCTGTAAAAATGGTGATCATATCCCATCATTCCTTCTACTACGACTTACTCATCCAGTTCCCAGTGGTAGGTGTTTGGGTTGTTTTTAGTCTTTGCTGTTGCCAATAGAGCTGCAACGCCTTATGTTTATGTTTTTATCATATTTCTGGAATTGATTTCTGAAAGCGAGAATTGTGCGTCAAAGGATACGCACATATGTCAGGCATTAGGTATCGCCAAATTCCTTTCCATAGAAGTTATAATACCTTACGTACCTATCAGCAGTGTATACAACTCCCTGTTTTCTTAGGCAAGAGCCCGGACAGCACGTTATACTGTCAAACTTCTGAATTTGTCCAGACTGATAGGTGAGCCATTGGTTTCCAGCATAGTTTAAACATCGGTGCGGTAGCGAGTCTTTTCACATGTGAAACATTTGCTTTTCTTTTACTGTGACGTCCCATCTCACAGCTCTTGTTGCAGTGCATAAGAAAAGATAAGAAAAGATAAGTTGAAGATACACTTTTGAAGTTTATTTATGTCTGCAAATGTCAACTGTGCCTGGATCATGACTTGAGTGGGTACATCATTCTAGTCTGGAATTTGTCTGAATTTTGAACTTTCCAGCTTCCTGAGCTGCTGATTAGAAATCTAATGCCCCTCTGATTCTTGCACTTTGCCCCTCTCTTTGAGACGTTGGAATTTTCTCTGCAGGTTAGAGTTCTCTTCTTTTACAATGCTCAGTCTTAGTGTGAGATTATTTCATTCCTTGTTCCGGCCAGTTGGTATATCC